AGAATTTCACTCGCGGTCACTTTTTAGCCCTCGTCGAGGGCTTTGAGTCAAACCGACAGTTTTTCCTAAAGGTCAAGCCATTTACCTAAGAGCAAGCAAAAAATTAGCCAGATGTAAAGACGGTAAGTGCCCTAAAATCCTACCACCTCACAAAATTTCAAGGGGGGTCGTCGGAGGAAATTTTTTTTCGTAATATAGCTCATACAATGAGAATTTCACTCGCGGTCACTTTTTAGCCCTCGTCGAGGGCTTTGAGTCAAACTGACAGTTTTCCCTAAAGGTCAAGCCATTGTCCTAAACGTATGCAAAAAATTAGCCAGATATACTGAGTTTAAGTACCCTAAAGTCTGCGTTGAAATGACCCTCTGTTTTCCCCATAAAATACAAAGATTATATAGGGAAATACGACTGGTCAGTTTTGACCCATTTTCCGATTTTTCCCAGACATGGCAAGTTTTTTTTTACACCCCCAGGCATTCTGCTACCACCTCACAAAATTTCAAGGGGGGTCGTCGGATGAAATGTTTTTTCGTAATATAGCTCATATAATAAGAATTTCACTCGCGGTCACTTTTTAGCCCTCATCGAGGGCTTTGAGTCAAACCGACAGTTTTCCCTAAAGGTCAAGCCATTGACCTAAAAGTATACAAAAAATTAGCCAGATATACCGAGTTTAAGTACCCTAAAGTCTGCGTTGAAATGACCCTCTGTTTTTCCCATAAAATACAAAGATTATATAGGGAAATACAAGTGGTCAGTTTTGACCCCTTTACGAAGTTTTCCCAGATATGCCGAGTTTTTTGTAACACCCCAAGGCGTTCTCCTACCACCTCACAAAATTTCAAGGGGGGTCGTCGGAGGAATTTTTTTTTCGTAATATAGCCCATATTAGGCGCCGGTCAGTCGAGGTCAGTTTTGACCCCCTCTCCGTCGACTTTTCGGCGAACCGTCACTGGCCCTCGTGTTCTATCTCCCCAAGGCACCATCGTGCCAAATTTGACGTGCCTGCGGCGCCGGGAAGTGCCCTATCGGGCACGTGACCACTTTGCTTTATATATATACTAGCGTACCCGACCCCCGCGCGTTGCCGCGGGGATAGAAGAAAGTCTGACAAAATATATTAGGATTTCACCAACGCGTTATCAATTATAATTAATGTTCTTAGACGCGTGACCTTCTTTTCTAAAAATGAGTTATTTAAATGTAAACAATGCCTGTTCTTGGATCATAAATATCAGGACACGGGTTTACCTACACTACCGCATGAAAACATTGAGTGTACATTAATCACTCACCGAAATAATATGGTAGAACACACTTCGGTGACCGCGTCTGTGTCAGAGACGTAGAGGGGCGATCTCACGGCCCCCACCCCCCGATTACACTACCGCATAGGCGCGGCGTACGACCCCTGGTTCCGTAAAACTAACAGGCGCCATCGGCCAAATAGCATCCTGTTAATAATGATGCAGATTTCGTCATTCGCTAAAGTGACACAAATGAACAGGATTTTTTTCTTTAACACTTAAAAAAATTATTTGACGTGTTTTAAATATCAGTGTGACTGATGCAATATGCTGGCGTTACTAATGGTCTATTATTAGATGCTCGATCTCAATTTCTGACAGAATTGTCTAATAATAGATGCTTATTGCATCATTCGCAATGTGACGAAACTCTACAGTAAGCTCCTCATATTCAAAAAGTAAATTTTTTCATCTTTCGCAAGGTGACGAAACTGTACAGAAGGATTTCCTCGCGTTACAAAGTTATTTTTAGAAGCCTTTTGTAGTTTTACCGCTGAATATAGTAGTACCCCTTACTCGCTATGCAGGACGCTCGATTAACGGATGCCAAGTGCCAACTTAGTTGCTCTAAAACTCTGGGCGCCAAACCATGTATTGACGAAAGTTGTACCCTATATGGTGCCGCCCGTAAGAAACTTAGTTTTCTTTTTCGCAGAAATATTCTCGGGGGTATTCTCATCTACTCCCTAAAGTTTCATGGCACTCGGATGAACCGCATCCGAGTTTTATTTTTTATATACCGTGTATAGAGAAAAAAATCGCTCCCCCCGGGGGGCGCCGCCCTTGCAATATTAAACAATATTTTTTGCAGTACCCTACCATTGAGTAATCTAATCATCTCCCCAAAGTTTCATGGTACACGGATGAACGGTGTGAAACCGAAATTTTATAAACCGTATATAAAGAAAAATCGCAGCCGCCCGTGGCGCCGCCCTTGCGAAATTAAAAAAAAAGTTGTTTTTTTACGTAACCCTTCCCTGAATTGTTCTAATCAACTCCCCCAAAGTTTCATGGCTATCGGATAACGGTGTCATACCAAAATCGACTTATTTTTATAAACCGTATATAAAGAAAAATCGCACCTTCCCGTGGCGCCGCCCTTGCGAAATTAAATATGATTTTTTTACAGAACTCTTCCCTAGAGTTTTATAATGAACTCCCCAAAGTTTCATGCCTATCGGATAAACGGTGTCACTGCACTTAACTTTTATTATTTTTCTATACCGTAAATAGAGAAAAATCGGACCTTCCCGTGGCGCCGCCCTTGCGAAATTAAATTTTTTTTTTTTACAGAACCCTTTCCTAGAGTGGTATAATGAGCTCCCCAAAGTCTCATGGCTATCGGATGAACGATGCCAAAACAAAATCGACTTTTATTTTTATATACGGTATATAGAGAAAAAAATCGAGCCCTACCGGGGCGCCACCCCTACGAATTTGAAAATGTTTTTTGCGCAAAAACCTCCACAGGAGTATTCTCAACATCTTACCAAAAGTTTCATGGCGATCGTGAGAATGGTGTCACTGCAGTTCCTTTTTATTATTTTTATATACCGTATATAGAGAAATGTCGCACCCTCCCGTGGCGCCGCCCTTGCGAATTTGAATTTTTTTTTTCGCAGAAACCTCCCCAGGAATATTCACAACAACTTCCCAAAGTTTCACGGCGATGTGATGAGAGGTGTAGTAATGCATAAAGGACAAACACACACACACACATACATTGCTTTATATATATATATATATATATATATATATATATATATATATATATATATATATATATATATAATTCTCTTCATGGAGACAATAGAAAACACCACGCAGCTTAGCCACCACCCTATCCCCACCTGTCAGGTGAGCTGTGAATCACCCCGAATGTTTACAATCGTAGAGCCGGGTTAGTGACGGCTATTAGGGGCAGATAATTTAGTATTAAACGATTTGAATCGAAGGGGAGGTTACAATATCTGCTTGATCTTTTCATTGTCGTCTGTAAACTGTCGTCATGGACGGCTACTTTCACTGGGTGGGGGGGGGGGGGGGGGGGGGGTAGTGTCGAATTCACAAATTATGAATTGCTGATAAGCAGAAAACGGGTCAGCTCGTAAGTTTTATTGTACAAAATAAAGGCAAAAAATGCATGAACTAGGTCATGCGGTTTAACATATCATTAAGTTATTTAAAAACATTATCTGCAAAGCTTTGTAAACAAATAACGATTGATCACTGAGTTCCTGTACAGTCAATTCATGTATCAGTGAAACATCCCGTTATATTGTTATATCTTAGGCTTGATGAAAATAAATAGAAATGTAGCTTTAAACTCAACAAATTATTTTCAAATTCTCTAAATTTGCAACATTTATAACAGTGCTTCTAAAAATATTAAATTTCGGAATTATTTTTTGGCTTAAGTTTGTATTTTTTATAATTTTTTTACGGCAGCTTTGAGGTCAATATGATGAAAGGTTTCTCATCGGAGCTAATATTTTAGGTGACCCGAACATCGCCAACTACGATTTGTCTCCCATCTTTAAAGAATAGAGTGGTTCGAAAGGTGGCAATTTTTTATAGCCAGTACATCACGTGACAGATATTACCGATGGCGTCAAACGTAATAGCATTTAGGGTTAGGATTAGGGTTAGGACTAAGGTTAGGATTAAGGTTAGGATAAATGTTAGGATTAAGGTTAGGATTAAGGTTAGGATTAAGGTTAGGATTAAGGTTAGGATAAATGTTAGGATTAAGGTTAGGATTAAGGTTAGGATTAAGGTTAGGATTAAGATTAGGATTAAGGTTAAATGAAGTATGTTTAGGATAAGGGTTAATAGCAGTCTACAAAATAAATTTAAAAAAAAAACAGATATATTTAATATTTACAGATTATAGCGAATAGGATTAAGGTTATCTGATCTGATATTTGATAGTTCTGTTGATATCTAATATTTCTAGTGATATTTGATAGTTCTGTTGATATCTAATATTTCTAGTGATATTTGATAGTTCTGTTGATATCTAATATTTCTAGTGATATTTGATAGTTCTGTTGATATCTAATATTTCTAGTGATATTTGATAGTTCTGTTGATATCTAATATTTCTAGTGATATTTGATAGTTCTGTTGATATCTAATATTTCTAGTGATATTTGATAGTTCTGTTGATATCTAATATTTCTAGTGATATTTGATAGTTCTGTTGATATCTAATATTTCTAGTGATATTTGATAGTTCTGTTGATATCTAATATTTCTAGTGATATTTGATAGTTCTGTTGATATCTAATATTTCTAGTGATATTTGATAGTTCTGTTGATATCTAATATTTCTAGTGATATTTGATAGTTCTGTTGATATCTAATATTTCTAGTGATATTTGATAGTTCTGTTGATATCTAATATTTCTAGTGATATTTGATAGTTCTGGTCTAATGAAATCGATTTGTGTTGATTTGTGTATTTTGAAATTTTTATTTGCAGAACTAAATGAATAAATGTAATATATATATATATATATATATATATATATATATATATATATATATATATATATATATATATATATATATATATATATATATATATATTGTATATGTTGTTTATGTATTATATAGGCCTATACAACATATACAACTTTTTTTTAAAGTTCACTGTATTTCTAATATCATATGGTGATAAATATTTTTCAGTGATGACGTCATGAGGTTCCGATTAAAAAAAACTATTCAAGTCTTAATAGCTTGCGCATGCGTGCTTGTCTACATCAATTTTCATTTTGCACCCAAATCTATTCTTGGAGGATACCATTCCCGTTTTTTTAAAGAGGTAGTGAGAAAACTGGAGCAGCCTGTCCTTGAAAGGGTAAGCTTGTGGTCAGTCTTTAGGTCAACCTAGTGGCGTCGCTATGTCGGGTGTCACCCCACGCCACCACCACGCGACACCTATGGGTTAACCTATGCTAGTTTGGTCTAAGGTTATTTAGTTCTTGAGGTAGATTGATGTTTCTATTATAATACACTGACGATAGAGACCACGTTGATTGTATGTAGATCTTTAATCAGCCACCATGACGGAACAGGAACAGGAAGTCACATTACAACAAGGGACATCACTCCAAACCACATTATACATATAAGACTAATACAAGAAGAGTGAGTTCCCTTGACTTCACAATTCTCAATATATTACAGTTCTTATGTTTTGTGTATGGTATGTGGGTTAGCGTTAGTATCGAACATTTTATTAAAACGTTTACTTGGATTTAATGGACATCAACGAGCTGACAAAAATCCTTAGACCCTTTTTGTTGACGGCTAAAAATCGTGTTTTTATCATTTCGCCTTCATAATAGCTGAAAAACTATTCCCTAAAAAGATTTTGCTTAAAAAATGTTACAAATTATATATTTTTAGAATCGATATTATAAAAGTTGTAAATGCAGAGAACTTGTAAATAATATTTTGCGTTTAAGGCTACATTTTATTTTATTTTTATCAAGCCTAAGTTATCACCTGAAGATTCACTTTTATAGGACAAACATTGATTGGCTGTACAGAAATTCTGTGATTGATATTCTGCAAACCCCAATGTGTAGTAATTTGTACTCAAAACTTGGCTGATAGTTTTTTAAATTAAAAATTAACCTTTTTTACAGCACATGAACTAGCTAGTGTTTGTTTCTGAAGATTTTCATTGATAAATCAAATGAAAACTATCAAATTCTTTATGCCTTGTTTCTGAAAATTTTCATTGATAAATTAAATGAAAACTACCAAATTCTTTATAGCTTATTTATGAACAGTTTCCTTGATAAAGTAAATGAAAACTATCATATTCTTTATGGCTTGTTTGTGAACAGTTTCATTGGATAAATTAAAAGAAAACTACACATTCTTTATGGCTTGTTTAAAAAATGTAATTTATTTAAATCCATTTCGTCCAATCTTTAGTAGAGTAATATTTATTGTCATATTTATATTAATAACATATATCATGATTTTTTAAAATATAAAATGTTCCTTTCTAATAATTTCTCATTCCTGTCCATTTCCAGCTAAACCCTACCTAACCCTAATCATAACAACACTATATCTACTACAGTCTATTGCATTTATATTATCTTAGTGCTGAATTAACCTAAACTAATGCTTCACTAGGAAATAATGTAGCTTCATTTTGTTTTCTACGAGTTGTGACAAATTTTAGAAACATCTAAAAGCCTATTATTCATATCGACATAATCTTCTACTCTAGACCGTCTGATATTGGCAGTCGACCATTGACATCGAGCCAGAGTTTTTTCTCTCTCTCTAAATTATATATATATATATATATATATATATATATATATATATATATATATATATATATATATATATATATATATAAGTAAGCCTTGACAGGGGATGACTATATGTAAATAAACTGTCAGGTCAGTGAAAGTCCGGCTAAACCCAGACTGGTTAAAATCCTAACCTCAGTCTAATTTAAAAAAAAATAGTTTAAAAAAATGTATCAAACAAATAAAAATGGAACCCAATTTACTAAAAAAACACATAATTTAAAACTACAAAATAAAAAACTAAAGGCGACAAAAATTAAACATAACAAAACACCCAATCGAACTACACACCTAAAAAGAGAACATATAGGCATACATGTAAACAAGTTAGAACCAAGATTCAACTTAGTCTAATGCAGGGAAACAAGCTACAACAAAACCGCACCTCTAACGTCTCAGAAGTTTATCCAAAGAACAGATAGTATCGATTAACTTAAGACATACATTCATGCATAGGGTTGGTGACAATAACATTCGAGCTATACGTTATCTGCGTGTGTTTTCCATAATGCTTTTGTGAACTCAACATTGTGAACTGATGAAGTTCACAATTTTCAAACGGGTTGTATAGAGCCTTGCATGACTACACAAATAGCTGTACCTTAAACATGTGACGTCACAAACAGCTGTACCTTCAACATGTGACGTCACAAACAGCTGTACCTTAAACATGTGACGTCACAAACAGCTGTATCTTAAACATGTGACATCACAAATAGCTGTACCTTAAACATGTGACATCACAAATAGCTGTACCTTAAACATGTGAGGTCACAAATTGCTAGAACTTAAACGTGTGACGTAACACATAGCTGCAACTGAAAACCTGTAACTGCTTAACAGTAGTCTACTAACCCTAACCCTAATAGCAAATTTCATATTTCAGAACTCTACGAATGTCTCCAACTATGGAATAAATGAACGGATGTTTGGTGTTAATCAACAGGTAGGTCACCTCTAAAGGTAGGTCCCGTCTACATGCAGGTCATGTATACAGGTAGGTCCTGTATACAGGCAGGTCCTGTATACAGGTAGATCCCGTCTACATGCAGGTCATGTATACAGGTAGGTCCCGTCTACAGGTAGGTCCCGTCTACATGCAGGTCATGTATACAGGTAGGTCTCGTCTACATGCAGGTCATGTATACAGGTAGGTCCCGTATACAGGTAGGTCCAGTCTACAGGTAGGTCCCGTCTACAGGTAGGTCCAGTCTACTGATAGGTCCAGTCTACAGGTAGGTCCCCTCTACATGTAGGTCCAGTCTACAAGTAGGTCCAGTCTAATTGATGTTCATCATCTTGGTTACACGTATGTCACGTAGAGTGTTACCCCATCATCACACTCCACCATAAGGTAGTAGAGAGTTACACCATCATCACACTCCACCATAAGGTAGTAGAGAGTTACACCATCATCACACTCCACCATAAGGTAGTAGAGAGTTACACCATCATCACACTCCACCATAAGGTAGTAGAGTGTTACACCATCATCACACTCCATCATAAGGTAGAGAGTTACACCATCATCACACTCCACCATAAGGTAGAGAGTTACACCATCATCACACTCCACCATAAGGTAGTAGAGAGTTACACCATCATCACACTCCACCATAAGGTAGTAGAGAGTTACACCATCATCACACTCCACCATAAGGTAGTAGAGAGTTACCCCATCATCACACTCCACCATAAGGTTGTAGAGAGTTACACCATCATCACACTCCACCATAAGGTAGTAGAGAGTTACACCATCATCACACTCCACCATAAGGTAGTAGAGAGTTACACCATCATCACACTCCACCATAAGGTAGTAGAGAGTTACACCATCATCACACTCCACCATAAGGTAGAGAGTTACACCATCATCACACTCCACCATAAGGTAGTAGAGAGTTACACCATCATCACACTCCACCATAAGGTAGTAGAGAGTTACACCATCATCACACTCCACCATAAGGTAGTAGAGTGTTACACCATCATCACACTCCACCATAAGGTAGTAGAGAGTTACACCATCATCACACTCCACCATAAGGTAGTAGAGAGTTACACCATCATCACACTCCACCATAAGGTAGTAGAGAGTTACACCATCATCACACTCCATCATAAGGTAGAGAGTTACACCATCATCACACTCCACCATAAGGTAGTAGAGAGTTACACCATCATCACACTCCATCATAAGGTAGAGAGTTACACCATCATCACACTCCACCATAAGGTAGTAGAGAGTTACACCATCATCACACTCCACCATAAGGTAGTAGAGTGTTACCCCATCATCACACTCCACCATAAGGTAGTAGAGAGTTACACCATCATCACACTCCACCATAAGGTAGTAGAGAGTTACACCATCATCACACTCCACCATAAGGTAGTAGAGAGTTACCCCATCATCACACTCCACCATAAGGTAGTAGAGAGCTACACCATCATCACACTCCACCATAAGGTAGAGAGTTACACCATCATCACACTCCACCATAAGGTAGTAGAGAGTTACACCATCATCACACTCCACCATAAGGTAGTAGAGAGTTACCCCATCATCACACTCCACCATAAGGTAGTAGAGAGCTACACCATCATCACACTTCACCATAAGGTAGAGAGTTACACCATCATCACACTCCACCATAAGGTAGTAGAGAGTTACACCATCATCACACTCCATCATAAGGTAGTATAGAGTTACACCATCATCACACTCCACCATAAGGTTGTAGAGAGTTACACCATCATCACACTCCACCATAAGGTAGTAGAGAGTTACACCATCATCACACTCCACCATAAGGTAGTAGAGAGTTACACCATCATCACACTCCACCATAAGGTAGTAGAGAGTTACACCATCATCACACTCCACCATAAGGTAGTAGAGAGTTACCCCATCATCACACTCCACCATAAGGTAGTAGAGAGTTACACCAGCATCACACTACACCATAAGGTTGTAGAGAGTTACACCATCATCACACTCCACCATAAGGTAGTAGAGAGTTACACCATCATCACACTCCATCATAAGGTAGAGAGTTACACCATCATCATACTCCACCATAAGGTAGTAGAGAGTTACACCATCATCACACTCCACCATAAGGCAGTAGAGAGTTACACCATCATCACACTCCACCATAAGGTAGTAGAGAGTTACACCATCATCACACTCCACCATAAGGTAGTAGAGTGTTACCCCATCATCACACTCCACCATAAGGTAGTAGAGAGTTACACCATCATCACACTCCACCATAAGGTAGTAGAGAGTTACACCATCATCACACTCCACCATAAGGTAGTAGAGAGCTACACCATCATCACACTCCACCATAAGGTAGTAGAGAGTTACACCATCATCACACTCCACCATAAGGTAGTAGAGAGTTACACCATCATCACACTCCACCATAAGGTAGAGAGTTACACCATCATCACACTCCACCATAAGGTAGTAGAGAGTTACACCATCATCACACTCCATCATAAGGTAGAGAGTTACACCATCATCACACTCCACCATAAGGTAGTAGAGTGTTACCCCATCATCACACTCCACCATAAGGTAGTAGAGAGTTACACCATCATCACACTCCACCATAAGGTAGTAGAGAGTTACACCATCATCACACTCCACCATAAGGTAGTAGAGAGTTACCCCATCATCACACTCCACCATAAGGTAGTAGAGAGCTACACCATCATCACACTCCACCATAAGGTAGAGAGTTACACCATCATCACACTCCACCATAAGGTAGTAGAGAGTTACACCATCATCACACTCCACCATAAGGTAGTAGAGAGTTACCCCATCATCACACTCCACCATAAGGTAGTAGAGAGCTACACCATCATCACACTCCACCATTAGGTAGAGAGTTACACCATCATCACACTCCACCATAAGGTAGTAGAGAGTTACACCATCATCACACTCCATCATAAGGTAGTATAGAGTTACACCATCATCACACTCCACCATAAGGTTGTAGAGAGTTACACCATCATCACACTCCACCATAAGGTAGTAGAGAGTTACACCATCATCACACTCCACCATAAGGTAGTAGAGAGTTACACCATCATCACACTCCACCATAAGGTAGTAGAGAGTTACACCATCATCACACTCCACCATAAGGTAGTAGAGAGTTACCCCATCATCACACTCCACCATAAGGTAGTAGAGAGTTACACCATCATCACACTCCACCATAAGGTTGTAGAGAGTTACACCATCATCACACTCCACGATAAGGTAGTAGAGAGTTACACCATCATCACACTCCATCATAAGGTAGAGAGTTACACCATCATCATACTCCACCATAAGGTAGTAGAGAGTTACACCATCATCACACTCCACCATAAGGCAGTAGAGAGTTACACCATCATCACACTCCACCATAAGGTAGTAGAGTGTTACCCCATCATCACACTCCACCATAAGGCAGTAGAGAGTTACACCATCATCACACTCCACCATAAGGTAGTAGAGAGTTACACCATCATCACACTCCACCATAAGGTAGTAGAGAGTTACACCATCATCACACTCCATCATAAGGTAGAGAGTTACACCATCATCACACTCCACCATAAGGTAGTAGAGAGTTACACCATCATCACACTCCATCATAAGGTAGAGAGTTACACCATCATCACACTCCATCATAAGGTAGAGAGTTACACCATCATCACACTCCACCATAAGGTAGTAGAGAGTTACCCCATCATCACACTCCACCATAAGGTAGAGAGTTACACCATCATCACACTCCATCATAAGGTAGTAGAGTGTTACCCCATCATCACACTCCACCATAAGGCAGTAGAGAGTTACACCATCATCACACTCCACCATAAGGTAGTAGAGAGTTACACCATCATCACACTCCACCATAAGGTAGTAGAGAGTTACACCATCATCACACTCCACCATAAGGTAGTAGAGAGTTACCCCATCATCACACTCCACCATAAGGTAGTAGAGAGTTACACCATCATCACACTCCACCATAAGGTTGTAGAGAGTTACACCATCATCACACTCCACCATAAGGTAGTAGAGAGTTACACCATCATCACACTCCATCATAAGGTAGAGAGTTACACCATCATCACACTCCACCATAAGGTAGTAGAGAGTTACACCATCATCACACTCCATCATAAGGCAGTAGAGAGTTACACCATCATCACACTCCACCATAAGGTAGTAGAGAGTTACACCATCATCATACTCCACCATAAGGTAGTAGAGAGTTACACCATCATCACACTCCACCATAAGGCAGTAGAGAGTTACACCATCATCACACTCCACCATAAGGTAGTAGAGAGTTACACCATCATCATACTCCACCATAAGGTAGTAGAGAGTTACACCATCATCACACTCCACCATAAGGCAGTAGAGAGTTACACCATCATTACACTCCACCATAAGGTAGTAGAGTGTTACCCCATCATCACACTCCACCATAAGGCAGTAGAGAGTTACACCATCATCACACTCCACCATAAGGTAGTAGAGAGTTACACCATCATCACACTCCATCATAAGGTAGAGAGTTACACCATCATCACACTCCATCATAAGGTAGAGAGTTACACCATCATCACACTCCACCATAAGGTAGTAGAGAGTTACACCATCATCACACTCCACCATAAGGTAGAGAGTTACACCATCATCACACTCCACCATAAGGTAGTAGAGTGTTACCCCATCATCACACTCCACCATAAGGCAGTAGAGAGTTACACCATCATCACACTCCACCATAAGGTAGTAGAGAGTTACACCATCATCACACTCCACCATAAGGTAGTAGAGAGTTACACCATCATCACACTCCACCATAAGGTAGTAGAGAGTTACACCATCATCACACTCCACCATAAGGTAGAGAGTTACACCATCATCACACTCCACCATAAGGTAGTAGAGAGTTACACCATCATCACACATCACCATAAGGTAGTAGAGAGTTACACCATCATCACACTCCACCATAAGGTAGTAGAGAGTTACACCATCATCACACTCCACCATAAGGTAGAGAGTTACACCATCATCACACTCCACCATAAGGTAGTAGAGAGTTACACCATCATCACACTCCACCATAAGGTAGTAGAGAGTTATACCATCATCACACTCCATCATAAGGTAGAGAGTTACACCATCATCATACTCCACCATAAGGTAGTAGAGAGTTACACCATCATCACACTCCACCATAAGGCAGTAGAGAGTTACACCATCATCACACTCCACCATAAGGTAGTAGAGTGTTACCCCATCATCACACTCCACCATAAGGCAATAGAGAGTTACACCATCATCACACTCCACCATAAGGTAGTAGAGAGTTACACCATCATCACACTCCACCATAAGGTAGTAGAGAGTTACACCATCATCACACTCCATCATAAGGTAGAGAGTTACACCATCATCACACTCCACCATAAGGTAGTAGAGAGTTACACCATCATCACACTCCATCATAAGGTAGAGAGTTACACCATCATCACACTCCATCATAAGGTAGAGAGTTACACCATCATCACACTCCACCATAAGGTAGTAGAGAGTTACCCCATCATCACACTCCACCATAAGGTAGAGAGTTACACCATCATCACACTCCATCATAAGGTAGTAGAGTGTTACCCCATCATCACACTCCACCATAAGGCAGTAGAGAGTTACACCATCATCACACTCCACCATAAGGTAGTAGAGAGTTACACCATCATCACACTCCACCATAAGGTAGTAGAGAGTTACACCATCATCACACTCCACTATAAGGTAGTAGAGAGTTACCCCATCATCACACTCCACCATAAGGTAGTAGAGAGTTACACCATCATCACACTCCACCATAAGGTTGTAGAGAGTTACACCATCATCACACTCCACCATAAGGTAGTAGAGAGTTACACCATCATCACACTCCATCATAAGGTAGAGAGTTACACCATCATCACACTCCACCATAAGGTAGTAGAGAGTTACACCATCATCACACTCCATCATAAGGCAGTAGAGAGTTACACCATCATCACACTCCACCATAAGGTAGTAGAGAGTTACACCATCATCATACTCCACCATAAGGTAGTAGAGAGTTACACCATCATCACACTCCACCATAAGGCAGTAGAGAGTTACACCATCATCACACTCCACCATAAGGTAGTAGAGAGTTACACCATCATCATACTCCACCATAAGGTAGTAGAGAGTTACACCATCATCACACTCCACCATAAGGCAGTAGAGAGTTACACCATCATCACACTCCACCATAAGGTAGTAGAGAGTTACACCATCATCACACTCCATCATAAGGTAGAGAGTTACACCATCATCACACTCCATCATAAGGTAGAGAGTTACACCATCATCACACTCCACCATAAGGTAGTAGAGAGTTACACCATCATCACACTCCACCATAAGGTAGAGAGTTACACCATCATCACACTCCACCATAAGGTAGTAGAGTGTTACACCATCATCACACTCCACCATAAGGCAGTAGAGAGTTACACCATCATCACACTCCACCATAAGGTAGTAGAGAGTTACACCATCATCACACTCCACCATAAGGTAGTAGAGAGTTACACCATCATCACACTCCACCATAAGGTAGTAGAGAGTTACACCATCATCACACTCCACCATAAGGTAGAGAGTTACACCATCATCACACTCCACCATAAGGTAGTAGAGAGTTACACCATCATCACACTCCACCATAAGGTAGAGAGTTACACCATCATCACACTCCACCATAAGGTAGTAGAGTGTTACCCCATCATCACACTCCACCATAAGGCAGTAGAGAGTTACACCATCATCACACTCCACCATAAGGTAGTAGAGAGTTACACCATCATCACACTCCACCATAAGGTAGTAGAGAGTTACACCATCATCACACTCCACCATAAGGTAGTAGAGAGTTACACCATCATCACACTCCACCATAAGGTAGTAGAGAGTTACCCCATCATCACACTCCACCATAAGGTAGTAGAGAGTTACACCATCATCACACTCCACCATAAGGTAGTAGAGAGTTACCCCATCATCACACTCCACCATAAGGTAGTAGAGAGTTACACCATCATCACACTCCACCATAAGGTTGTAGAGAGTTACACCATCATCACACTCCACCATAAGGTAGTAGAGAGTTACACCATCATCACACTCCATCATAAGGTAGAGAGTTACACCATCATCATACTCCACCATAAGGTAGTAGAGAGTTACACCATCATCACACTCCACCATAAGGTAGTAGAGAGTTACACCATCATCACACTCCACCATAAGGCAGTAGAGAGTTACACCATCATCACACTCCACCATAAGGTAGTAGAGTGTTACCCCATCATCACACTCCACCATAAGGCAGTAGAGAGTTACACCATCATCACACTCCACCATAAGGTAGTAGAGAGTTACACCATCATCACACTCCATCATAAGGTAGAGAGTTACACCATCATCACACTCCACCATAAGGTAGTAGAGAGTTACACCATCATCACACTCCACCATAAGGTAGTAGAGAGTTACACCATCATCACACTCCACCATAAGGTAGAGTGTTACCCCATCATCACACTCCACCATAAGGCAGTAGAGAGTTACACCATCATCACACTCCACCATAAGGTAGTAGAGAGTTACACCATCATCACACTCCACCATAAGGTAGTAGAGTGTTACCCCATCATCACACTCCACCATAAAGTAGTAGAGAGTTACACCATCATCACACTCCATCATAAGGTAGTAGAGAGTTACACCATCATCACACTCCACCATAAGGTAGTAGAGAGTTACACCATCATCACACTCCACCATAAGGTAGTAGAGAGTTAAACCATCATCACACTCCATCATAAGGTAGTAGAGAGTTACACCATCATCACACTCCACCATAAGTTTGTAGAGAGTTGCACCAGCACTAAACCCATGCACATCTTCCAGCATGTGGTTTCCGGTGCTGATTTTATGAGCTCGAGAAACTTCCTGTCCCAGAATTTCTTCTCAGCTGATCGTCAGCTTTAACTCGACGTGTGTCCGTCACAGCTTCTACATCCGACCTGCGCATGTCAGTTGAGAGTTACGCCAACATCTACAAATGTGTCTAATCCGACCTGCGTATGTCAGTTGAGAGTTACGCCAACATCTACAAATGTGTCTAATCCGACCTGCGTATGTCAGTTGAGAGTTACGCCAACATCTACAAATTTGTCTTATCCGACCTGCGCATGTCAGTTGAGAGTTACGCCAACATCTACAAATGTGTCTAATCCGACCTGCGTATGTCAGTTGAGAGTTACGCCAACATCTACAAATTTGTCTAATTCGACCTGCGCATGTCAAATGAGCGCATCTTATACTCACGCGTTTGGGATTCTTTATTTTCGTTTTATCTTCAAGGCAGACCATGTTGAATATATGTCCCTTTGATCTATGTGTCAATTAAGTCGTTTAGGTTTAGTCTTTCAATATTAGTTGAAACAATGTTGCATGTAAGTTATTTTTTTAGTTTTACACGAGTTCTTTATTACTTTCGTGTAGTTTTTTTTACTAACCTGCTGTAGCTATAGACTAATTCTTTACTAACCTGCCGTAGCTATTAACTTGTTCTTTACTAACCTGCTATAGCTAAAGACTACTTCTTTACTAACCTGCTGTAGCTATGGACTAGTTATTTACTAAACTTACAATTACAAAATGTGTACATAAATGTGTATAATGGACAAAGTTCCTTTGCATGCATTTATGTGTGTGTTCGCGTCTGTGTTTGTGCGAGTGAGAGAGAGAAAGAGAGAGAGAGAGAGAGACGGAGAGACACAGAGATAGAAGTTAGTTTTTATGATATAAAATGTACAGCTATATGGGCTAACAATGTTGTATTTCAGGACTTAGAGATCTACCCCAAGTCTGAAAACTATGACGACGACAGAATTCTAGCCCAGCTGCGATTTGTTCCCCGTTCAGTTCAGAATTTGCTTCAGTCGGGTTCTACGGTGCCACTACGAAAAATTTTCCTTTACAACGGTCTTGGAGGCTGGGATGTAAAGTACGGTCAGGAATCTTTCCTGGAACAGAAGTGTGCTGTGCCTTACTGTGAGATCACAGACTCTAGATCCAGCCTACAGGAGGCGCATGTAGTGCTGCTTCAAGGCATACCCAAACCCTCAAACAAGCCCCCACATCAAAAGTGGCTTCTTTTTTTGCTCGAATCTCCCTACCACACACCAGGGCTGGAGGCTGCCGCGGGTATGTCATTCTTTTCTTTATACTTCACTCAAACAAATACAGCTGGTATGTCATTCTTTTCTTTATACTTCACTCAAACAAATACAGCTGGTATGTCATTCTTTTCTTTATACTCCACTCAAACAAATACAACTGGTATGTCATTCTTTTCTTTATACTTCACTCAAACAAATACAGCTGGTATGTCATTCTTTTTTTTATACTTCACTCAAACAAATACAGCTGGTATGTCATTCTTTTCTTTATACTTCACTCAAACAAATACAGCTGGTATGTCATTCTTTTCTTTATACTTCACTCAAACATATAATCCCTTAAAAACATAACCTCTCATTTCTTTTAAATAAAAAAAAAGCAGAACAATTCTCGGGACGATACTTTTAAAATTAAAACAATGTTTACATGTTTGTTTGTCTATATATATACAATTCTCTTCATGGGGACCATGCGAGGCACCACGCCGTTACTTCCTCGCTCTCTAGGCAAATAGCTATCACCCCCACCTGTCTGTTTACAACCGTAGAGCCGGGTCGAATTAGTAACGGCTATTAGGGGCAGGTAATTTAGCTTTTAGACGATTTGAAACTAAGGAGAGGTAAGAAGTTCTGCTTGTCGTCCATAAACTGTTGCGAGGGGCGGGGGGGGGGGGGGGCAGGGAATGGAAGGGAGGGTAGTGTTGAATTCACTATGAAGTACTGATAAGTTGAAAATAAAACAACTAAATAGCGGCGAATGATACGCCACGATTCACTTCGTTTATCTTTAATTGTATTTATTATTATCAAGAGATCGAAAAAATAGGTATAGAATTTTGAAATACGTACTTAGGTGGAAACATTTATAAGCAAATATTTCTTTAAAGCCGTTAATGAAATTCAGAGAAATAATAAAATTTAAAAACACACATTTAATTATAGAAGCGAAGATTTTTGACCAAGTTTCGCTCCAAGGCTCTAACAATATTATCAACTTTCAATAGCATAGAGACCAAATTAACCTCAAGAGACCAAATCAACATCTAGACCAATAATGATCAGAAGTTTGCAGGAAATAGTCATGAACACTTTGACTTGAATAAATGGAAGATTTCAAGAGAAAAAACTTGGTCGTGATTTATACAAAGGGCTCCAATATAAAATACAAAATAAAACTACTTGTGAAAAGTATACTCAACAGAACAATATTTTGTTTCTGTAACGGTTTTTAAAGGTTAAAGGTTAACGGTTAACCCCTCCAAACCGTAAATTTTTGTGAAATCAACTTTTTTTCTTTTTTTGTGTACCCCCTCCCCCTACCCAAACACATGTGCCCCCCCCCCCCCCCCCCATATTAGGCGTTTGTTTGTTTGTAGATCTGACTTTGGTTTCATTTCTATTTTCTTGACCAGGCAAAGTAAAAACATAAATATATATACATTACTAACAAAGTTACTAATAGAAAGATTCAATATTGCCATCTTGCCCAGGCAAAATAAAAACTTATAAATATATATACATCATTACCAAAGTTCAGTGGCGTAGCTAGGATTTTTGGGCCCTTATGCAAAAATTATAATTAGGCCCCTACATCAATCTGAAAATTGTGTATTTTATACATCCTAAATGTCTAATTATACGGTATTATTATGTATTACCCCGTTACGTAAAATACCTTTCATTTTATATCGCTTTTATGAAAAAACAAACTAAAAATTTACTGTAAGCCTGTACCATTTAATACCGATGGGCCATGTACAACCCCTCCCAATTAAGAAAGGTCTGAGGGCCTTTTTTTGAACTTTTGATTACCTCTACTGTAGAAAAGAAAATGGTTTTCCGTTTTCTGTTTAAAATTATTTTTATAATACAAATATTAAAATTCCAATTTAAAAGTTTTTAAAAATGTATAGAGGGAAAAGGGCCCCTATTTGCATTGGGCCCCTATGCCTTGCTTACGCTATCTTTACGGTAGCTACGCCACTACCAAAGTTACTATCAGAAAGATTCAATATTGTTATCTTGACTAGGACTGATCAACTGGACTGCCACCTACCGTAGAGACTCCACGATCGTCGCCCCTTATGAAAAATTTGTTCCGTTTAATGCAAGTGTTTTAACCAAACATCAAGAGAAGAACTACGCCCTGGGCAAAACAAAAAAGGTCGCCTGGTTTGTGTCCAATTGCGGAGCCAGGAACGGTCGTAGACAATATGCTGATGAGCTGGCTAAATATATCCAGGTAAGTTCATTATAATGTTTAGGTTAGTCCTTATCCAAACAGCTTAATAGTTGTTTCATGAGACCAAAATAAATCGATCTGCTGTATCGATGATTGTTCTACAGCAGGGGTCTCCAAACTACGGCCCGTTTGTTGGAGGTGGCTGAGAAACTTTGCCTAGAAAATTCTGAACAATTTGGAAATGTAGTTTTGGGTGCAAATATCATTGTTGCAGGCATTGGTGAAAACATTGTGACTCGAATAGCGAAAAATACTAGCGAGTGTCGCCATTTTTTAATTGCAATGATGAGTCGCTTGACAGCTGTTCCACCTCTCTACTTCTAGTGTTCATTAGAGTGTTGATGAAGACATGAAAATAACACAAGAGCTGGCTTCCCTACATAGTATTATTGCACTGTTACCGGAGAGGATATATTTAATGGGTAATAATAATTGCTGATTATAACTTGGATTGGACTAACCTCAATTTACATTACTGTTGAAGGAGGAAAGTACATTAGTTTCATGAAGAAATGGTTGGTAGGACACGCGAATAATAAAAACATTCTACAACCAATGTTTCTGCACTGTATTATTCATCAGCAAATTTTTGTGTGTTAAATATATGAACATTAGCAGTATACCGGATCCTGTGGTGAAGACGGTGAATTTAATAAGGTCACATAGATTCTACAATAGACAGTTCAGAGACATGCTCAAAGATAGACACAGAATCGCAACATTTACCTTATTCCTCAGCAGTAAGATGAATAAGTTGTGGGAAAGTTGTAAGGAGAGTATTTAAGTTAAGAAAGAAAATACGTGACTTACTAGAAAGTAAAGGCAAGCCACAGCCATTAATGGTAAAGAGTGGGTAATGAAATTGGCCCATGATGCAGTCATAACTAGCCATTTAAATTTTCTGAACATAAAACGATAAGGACAGCAAAATCTAATTTCTGTTCTATACACTCACCTAAAGGTGTTCAGATCAAAAAGTGTCGTTATTTTTGGAACAAGTACAGGCAAACAACTTGACGCACTTTCAGCCATGCAAGGTCGTCATGGATGAGTTTCTCACGTCATTCGCATGCGAGATCATCATGGACCTCCAACTGCAGTTTCAGCAGTGATTTTTTTGACTTGGATTCAAAAGTAAAAGACGTGAGACTGTTTCAAAGCGCATTTGAAGCAGATGTGGCCAGTTGCCCAAATGAATTGCAACTGTAGGTATTTGAATTGCAAGAAAATGACCTCCTTAGAGACAAGTTCAAAGATGGGCGGGTGTGTTTTTATTAGTTTTCTTAATACGTTTTTGCCTAAGGAAGACTTTCCCAATATTAAAATGTTTCAATTAAAGTATTATTCAAATTTGGTACAACATACCCGTGTGAACAAACATTTTCAAGATTGAAATACGTGAAGAACAATTTGAGAACAAACTTGGACCTCGAGTGTGTTGTCGGCCCCCCTCAGTATTTCTTTCACTTTTTTTCTCAGGTGGGGGGGGGGGTACTTGAAATTTTTATATATTTCTAAATAAATTATACTTCTTTCGGGGGGGGGGGGGGGAGATAGGCGTTCCTCTCGGGGGGGGGGGGGGGGGGACTTCACCGTCCCGAATAGATGCCTGGAAGAAACTCTGGCAGCCGAATTGATATTTGATAGTAATGCGGCCCTAGGGCTGAAAATTTTGGAGACCCCTGTTCTACAGTCACTAACACGCGTTGTTGTGTAGAAAAATAAATAACTTTCTCATCTTTTACTTTCTCGTATACAAAGTATAGAGAAAGTCTTGTAATCGTGCAGAAAAAAATAATCAAGATTTTTGCAAATCTCGACGTTTTACACCTCTCTGAGTCGGAAAAACATAGTTTTGCAATCTTGTCAGTATGTCTGTGTGTGAGTATGTGTCTGTATGTCTGTGTGTGTGTGTGTCTGTGAACACGATAAACTTGAGCTAGGTTGATGAAATTTCATTTATAAGTATTATATCAAACTTTACAGCGATTTCCGGTAACCGGAAGTGGCACATATTCTACTTTCAATTTTTGAAAAGCCTATAACTTGAGTACTGTTTTAGATAGATAAATGAAATTTCACATGAAAGTAAACTATTTAATTCTCTGCCTTCTATCACAATTTGAGTAATTTCCGTCGACCGGAAGTTGCTATTTCTGATTTCTCAAAAAATGCATGTGAATTTATATAGTACTAATAATATTCCGCACTATGATACACAGATTTTTTGGCGTTCACTTGGTGTGCAATTCTTTTTTCTAGGAGATTCTTTTTTCTTTAAAGTTTAAGTAATTTAAAATGTCTATATCCCGCGGCGCCATCCTCCTTAGTGTTTTATAAGAATACTAGCTGCATACCCGTTCTCCGACACGGTAAATCTTTTTTAAATGTACCAACTTGGGAACAGAACAAAACTAAACACAACACAAACGAAGGAAAAAATACACAAGCGAAAAAACAAACACAACACTTATAACATAAACACAATTTAAATGCAATCATAAACGCATAGTGCTCAGAGTCTAGCCCGTGGCGCCAAATCGTGCCCTGTCCGAGCGCCGGTGGACGTGCCTAGCTTATCCGCAAACCGAAAGATTGAATAATAATTACTAAACAGTACGTTCAGTGTATAAAATAAATAAAAGGCAGTATTTAAAATTTACTCCAACAAAAGTAATGAAAATCAACTTGTTATGTGTCATATTGGCCGTTAACATCGATTTGTTTTTGGATTCACGCTCATAGCCTTTGTTCATCCTAGAACAAACTATAAGGCTGCGGTTGTTTAATTTTGGAGTTGTCTCTCCCAAAGTCCCAGATGGGTTGTTGGCCCCAGCTATCGAGTTGTCTCTCCCAGAGTCCCAGATGGGTTGTTGGCCCCAGCTATCGAGTTGTCTCTCCCAAAGTCCCAGATGGGTTGTTGGCCCCAGCTATCGAGTTGTCTCTCCCAAAGTCCCAGATGGGTTGTTGGCCCCAGCTATCGAGTTGTCTCTCCCAAAGTCCCAGATGGGTTGTTGGCCCCAGCTATCGAGTTGTCTCTCCCAAAGTCCCAGATGGGTTGTTGGCCCCAGCTATCGAGTTGTCTCTCCCAAAGTCCCAGATGGGTTGTTGGCCCCAGCTATCGAGTTGTCTCTCCCAAAGTCCCAGATGGGTTGTTGGCCCCAGCTATCAAACTACATCTGCCCGGCTGATTGAACTCAAACACCACTTTAAAAACTAACGCTAACCCAAGTGGGAAATGTGTGTGTATGTGTGTGTGTGTGTGTGTGAAGTGGGAAATATTTACAAACAATCAAACTATTTTCATGAAGTATTGCTCCTGTTTAGTGGCATCAAGATGTTGCTTTTAAAAGCTAATAGGGGTCCCATATCATTCGAATATGGGCCCATTTTTATATAGTCAAAAGGGGGATAATACGTTTTTACAATCATTTTAAAGTTCAATTCTTGCATGCCCAAATTGATTTTGGGTCTTATTTTTGTATGGTTTGTTATATTTAATGGGTATAGGCCTACTTTACAAAGAAAAGGGCCTACGCCAATCACTAAATTAAGAAGGAGGGTTATGGTTGGGGTTGGGGTTGGGTTAGGGTTGGGGTTGGGGTTGGAGTTGGGTCTGGAGCTTTTTTTTCTAGTTCTGCCACTTTCATACTGATTGCACCAAGTAGATTGTAATGTTAAACCTAACTCAAGTAGGTTTTAATGTTAAACCAAGAAGATTTTAATGTTAAACCAATTAGATTGCAATGTTAAACCAAGTAGATTGTAATTTTAAACCAAGTAGATTGTAATGTTAAACCAAGTAGATTGTAATTTTAAACCAAGTAGATTGCAATGTTAAACCAAGTAAATTGTTATGTTAACCCAAGTAAATTGTTATGTTGAACCAAGTGTGACCTACTTAGGTCTGGTTATTTTTAGTTACATTTGTTACCTTACCATATATGGTCTGTGGTTCAATGACCTGTTTTTTCCGCTGTCTTACTAAGAGAGTCTTAGACTCAGAAATTTTCCATCAAGAGATGATTGATTGATTCAGACCAGATGACCACCCCAACCAATGGCCTTATGATTTGAAGGTGACCTTCCATGTTGCCTAAGTCTATAAATAGACTGCCCACAGGTGTCTCGAGGCAGTTCATTGATCAGACGTCGTTGAAGAGACATAAGCCCTGTGTGTTGCCGCGTAGTACTAAGTTGTTTAAGTAGCATATTCATATATTACTTGTGGTTAAGTAATTCTTTATGCTTATAGCAGTGTTGTGTATACTGTGGTGATTTTTCTGAAGTGTTAAAAGCTGTGATAGTGTATCATACTATTTATTCCCACGAATTGTAAGTTGGGTTTTGTTCATTCTGTAAATCCATTTTATTCTTGTATAAATCTAGTGTTCTGCCACGACTTTGTACACTCATTGCAAGTTATATGCAGATTAAAGGTATTGTTGGCATCAGTAGTTTCTCTTGTGTTTCCCCTAGACATCAATTACGAGTCCTAGCGAACTAGTGTGTCAATTTTCTTTTATTTAGGCTTGTCGCCATCTGTGTGTAATCAGTTAAACGAATCCGGGAGCGTTCGCCATCTATCAGGCTGATAGATTGGTGTCCGTTACACAAGTAGATTGTAATGTTAACCCAAGTAAATTGATATGTTGAGCCAAGTAGATTGCAATGTTAAACCAAGTAAATTGTTATGTTAAACCAAGTAAATTGTTATGTTGAACCAAGTAGATTGCAATGTTAAACCAAGTAAATTGTTATGTTAAACCAAGTAAATTGTTATTTTGAACCAAGTAGACTGTTATGTTAAACCCACAGGTGGACATCTACGGGACTTGTGGGACCCTCAAGTGCCCACGCTACGAGGCCAACCGATGTTTTGACATGCTCAACACAGACTACAAGTTTTATTTGTCTTTTGAAAATTCAAACTGTCGGGACTATATCACAGAGAAGTTTTTTGTCAATGGTCTCAAGTAAGTTTTTATCCGAGGTCTCAAGTAAGTTTTTATCCGAGGTCTCGAGTAAGTTTTTATCCGAGGTCTCGAGTAAGTTTTTATCCGAGGTCTCGAGTAAGTTTTATCCGAGGTCTCGAGTAAGTTTTATCCGAGGTCTCGAGTAAGTTTTTATCCGAGGTCTCGAGTAAGTTTTATCCGAGGTCTCGAGTAAGTTTTATCCGAGGTCTCGAGTAAGTTTTTATCCGAGGTCTCAAGTAAGTTTTTATCCGAGGTCTCGAGTAAGTTTTATCCGAGGTCTCGAGTAAGTTTTTATCCGAGGTCTCAAGTAAGTTTTATCCGAGGTCTCAAGTAAGTTTTTATCCGAGGTCTCAAGTAAGTTTTTATCCGAGGTCTCAAGTAAGTTTTTATCCGAGGTCTCAGAGGCGTAGCTAGGGGGTCTGGGGGGGGGGGGGGGGCGGGGAGTGCGGCATCCCCGGGCGCCGACCCAACTGGGGCGCCAAAAGGGGTAGAAAAAAATTAAAAGCTCAATTTAAAATGCAACGTCTGATTTAAATGTTTTCTACCTTGATTGTGTAACTGTCAAACATATACCTTGAAGAAACACTGACCGTCAAAAACCACTTTCCAGCTTTACCTAGATGGGGGGGGGGGGTGCTTTTTCGCAACTAAAATCAGAAGGATTTACAATGCATTGGTGAGCATATAAGTTTTATCGTTTAAAAGAGAAACCAATTAGACTAAAGCGAATTGTACGATTGTGTTAGTGACGTTAAAACCCGTTGTCCAAGATGGTGGGTAGGAAGGGGTCGCTTTTTCGCCAGAAAAAAAACCGTAAGATACTGTACAGGATTGGTGGGTAGATAACTTATAACACTTAGAAAAGAAACCAATTGTATAACAGTTAAATAAGAAAAAGGTGGGGGGGGGGGTAGAGCGCTTTTTTTGTCAAGGTAAATGGGAAGGAACGGGTGAGAATCATTTCACTTAAAATAGAAAACAGTTCTATAAACACGTACTGTACGATTTCACTAGCCAGTTTTGTTAAGAAATTACGCGACTAGTTCTTTTTACGATTCTCTCAACTTCAACAAGAGAGATCAGATACTTGTACTTGATTGCATTACATCGTGCCTGGATCACTGTATTAAAGGGAAATCAATATCACGTATTCTTGTATCGTACGCTCTGTAACATAGCTGTAATATAGCAGTAATAATAATTGTTCTAAAGACATGATCAAAAGTAGACCAAATAAGCTTGCAGCTTCTACAAGCAACACTCTAAAGCAGTGGTTCTTAACTTTTTGGAGGTACCAAACCCAACGCAATCACCAAACCCTTCTTAATAGTTGTATCGTCCACACTGACAAAATCCGATCGTGAATCATATGAGTCAGGTGTGTGTCTTGACCTCCGCCGAAACTCTGAGACTTACATACCGAACACTTGGGTTCAATTGAACACAGGTTAAGAAACTCTTACCTCTTTTGATTTCCTTCTTTTTATTTTTTCGGCTTCCTAAGGAGTAAGTTCTTATCCTAGGTCTAAGTAAGTTTTTGTAGTGACATTGAGGTTATGATTAGCTGTTAACCCCAATCTTAAGCTTAAGCGTTTATGTTAAGAGATTAAAATAAATCTTAATCTGCAGACATGACGTCATCCCTATTGTCATGGGCGCGGCGCCCGAGGACTACAGGCGTGCGGCCCCACCCCACAGCTTCATCCACGTAGATGACTTCGAGTCGCCGAAAGCTTTGGCTGAATACCTGCACACGTTAGACAACAACGACAACTTATACAACGAATATTTTCAGTGAGTTCTCCGACTTCAAATAAGACATTGTCCGATTTGTTGATGTGTCGCGTATGATGTAATACCGATGTTGATGTTTCGTGTATGATGTAATACCGATGTTGATGTTTCGTGTATGATGTAATACCGATGTTGATGTTTCGTGTATGATGTAATACCGATGTTGATGTTTCGTGTATGATGTAATACCGATGTTGATGTTTCGTGTATGATGTAATACCGATGTTGATGTTTCGTGGCCAGGTGGAAAGGGACTGGTGATTTGATCAACACTCACTTCTGGTGCAGAGTGTGTGCACTAGCCCATGACGATGAGCGGGGACCGTCATGGTACACTAACCTCGATTCTTGGTGGCGGGGCGCTGAAGTGTGCATAGGACAAGACAGCTGGCGCAACTTGTCACGCAAACATTTGATAGGGGATCTGCCAGTCAGTCAGCTAGTCAGGAATTTAACCACTGTCTAGATGGACTTTTCATTCATTAAGCTGGGACGAAGACGAAGAATGTGACGAATGATGTGATGAAGGATGTGACGAAGGATGTGACGTAGAATGTGACGTAGGATGTGACGTAGAATGTGACGTAAAATGTGACGTAGAATGTGACGTAGAATGTAACGTAGAATGTGACGAAGAATGTGACGAAGAATGTGACGAAGGATGAGACCAATTATTTATTTTTTTATGCACAAAGTTGATGTCATACAAACACCCTTTCGACTTCCCACTACCACCTCTACCACTTCTGCAACCTCTACCACCTCCCCTCTAACATTGCCGCCACTTCCCCTCCTCAATATTAACCTTACACTAACCCCAACCCAAAATTAAAAAAAGGTAGTTAACTTAAAGTTAGCTTATTATAACATATATTATACCATAAACATTTTAATAAATATATCACAGTTTTTATAACAGATATAAATATCTTTTCAATTAAAACAAAAGGTATGTGAGATGAAAATAAGGCCGATGTATTACACCTAACCCCTTGTCATATATCGGTCAATACTTGAGTTATTTCCCTTGGCAGTGTGTGCTTTAAAAGGCTAGAGAAATTTACCCTAACCCTTAGGCAAGTCGGTTAATGGGATTTTCTTATGATCTTCTTCTTCTTCGTTCTTAATCTTTAGTGTTGAAAGGGGTCGAGCCTTATCTGCCAGAAGGTTTGAACTCGAGACATTTTTCGAATGTATCAACCATGAGCTTTTGCAGACTCGACCACGCCTCCATCACAATTAAGTATACGTGTCAACTGGTTATGCACCATTAAGGCCATTGACTCCGATTTCAGCCTGCTTTTCTTTTTGGATTTGCTTCCATAGCCTTTGTCCAACCAAGAACAAACTGCAAGACAGCAGTTGTTTGAATTTGGAGTTGTCTCTCCTAGAAGAGTGGCTGTCCCCAGCTAACGAGCCTCATCTGCCCGAGGGTTCGAACTCGATACTTTTCGGTTTAGCAACCATGAGCTTTACCGACTCGAACACTACGACCCCTTCTTATGATAAA